CGCCACCGCAGCCTCGACTTGCTGGGCTCCGGCCATCCTTCCGCCTCAGCCTTTCGAGTAGCTGGAATTACAGGCCACATGCGCTACCACGCCCGGCTGATTTTTTGATTTATTGTAGAGATGAGGTCTCGCTGCCCAGGCGGGTCTACCCGCGGGCTCAGGCAATCCACACACCTCAGCCTCCCAAAGGCACGGGATTATAGGCTGAGCCACCGAGCCCGGCTAAAAATTTCTAATTTGATTGTTAGGCAAAGTCAAAAGGACTGAGATCAGCCTGAGCAACAAAGCAAGAACTCATATATACAAAAAAATCAAAAATTTAGCTGGGTGTGGTGGCACACACCTGTAGTCCCAGCTACCTGGGAGGCTGAAGCTGGAGGATCACTTGAATCCAGGAGGTTGTGGTGAGCCATGACATGCCACTACATTCCAGCATGGACACAGAGTGAGACCCTGACTCAAAAAAAACAAAACACAATTATTCCATCAGCAATTTCACAAGAAACTCACTCCTAGAAGGTAATAACATCATTCTCTCTTTTTTTTTGAGTTGGAGTCTCACCGTCACCCAGGCTGGGGGGCAGTGGCACACTCACGGCTACCGCAGCCTCGACCTGCTGGGCTCAGGCGATCCTTCCACCTCAGCCTTCCAAGCAGCTGGAACTACAGGCACACGCTACCATGCCCAGCTAATTTTTTGATTTATTGCAGAAATAAAGTCTCGCCAAGTTTCCCATGCTGGTCTTGAACTCTCAGGTTCAGGAAATCCTCTCATCTCAGCCTCCCAAAGTGCTGGGATTATAGGCGTGAGTCATAAAAACCTCAATCTCAAAGTCACAAGTAGGTTTTAGAGAAAGGTAAGATAGCAGTGCAACAGATAAAGCAACCCATAGGTATAACTTAAAAGCCAAAATAATAGAAATATCAATTCTCATAAGATGTAACTGAAATAAAAACAAATACAATTAATAAAAGCAATATAATACAGTAAGGGCAGGGCTCTAGGGCCAGTTTCCACCACATTACAGCTGATGAATGTGAGGTACTTAGTAAAATGCCAGGCACACGGCAGATGCCAGGACTATCATATTCCTCCTCCTCATCCCTTTAGAATAATTTTAAAGTAATTCCATTTTCATCATTATTCCTGAACCTATCACTCACTGGCCTTAGTCCTTGACAAGATCTATACAGCAAACTCCTAGTCGCACTTGTCCCTAAGTCTTCTCAAATAAAAATAGAAATACCTTTGCTTTCTTCAATGTAATTTACCCCATAGCCACATACTTTAGAATTAACTCCTTACATACAGTGTGAGAAGATAAGAATAAATCCCCCTACTGGGAATATACCCTGAAGAACTCAAATCACTCTATAAAAAGGATACCTGTAAAGTGGGCTCAGTGGCTCAGCCTGTAATCCCGCGCCTTTGGGAGGCTGAGGTGAGTGGATTGACTGAGCCCGTGGGTTCGAGACCCGCCTGGGCAGCGAGACCTCATCTCTGCAATAAATCAAAAAAATCAGCCAGGCGTGGTAGCGTATGCCTATAATTCCAGCTACTCAGAAGGCTGAGGCGGAAGGATCGCCGGAGTCCAGCAGGTCGAGGCTGCGGTGGCCGGGAGCGGCCTCTGCACTCC